GGATCTTTAGGGGTACACAGCAAGTCAAAAGTATATGCTACACTAAAGTGGTATGCATAATCTGAAAGATAAGAACCTGAAGATTCATTTGAGATGCAGCTCACACGCACTATGTGTCAAGCTTGCCTTAAAACTGAGCCCACTACATCCTCTGAAAGACAGTAATGCCAGCCGAGGACATCGACGTCCCAGCAGAGTTGAAGAGGGGAAAAAATTCACTTGATTTTAGAAATGACTTGAAATAAATGGAATGATTTATTTTAGAAGGTGGAGCCCTTAAGTGCACCTTTGCTGCAGGACTAAAGCACTCCGCTGCCGCCGAGAGAGCTGGTTTCAGGTTTTCTGTCAGGACAATGCTGAACTGAAATACAATGCAGATTCAGGTTTGGCTCAAAAAACAGGTGGAGTTTTAAGGCTTGAGAATGAAGCTGGAGGGATGTTGAGTGGATTAGTTTAGTTTGATATTTTCACGGTAAAAGCACAGTAGTCAGGGGATAACTCCAACAGAAATGAAGCTGTTTGAAAATTGTGATCCAGATGCCAAGTATTGTAGTTTGAATTGTCCGAACCGGTAGTGTGTCAGTGTGGTGATAAATCATACATTAGACAGCAATAGACCAGGTGTGGATAGACAGAGCTTTGGATAGATAGAGCAGCTGCAGGCCAACACACACACACACACACACACTCTAACAGACTCATAAAGAATACATGATGTATTCTCTGCTCAACACTTCTCTCTGCTGTACTGAAAGATTGACTGCTTGGTGTGAGTGTGTGTGTGTGCATCTGAATGTATTGCATGTATTGTGTATAGCTGTGCCCTTTGTGTGTTGCTGCTCCTCTGTGGGTGTGAACTTATGTGCTTGTTTTTGAGTGCACACGTGTGTATACTGTGTGTGTGGGCGGGTTGAAGGGTGACTGATGTGCTGAGATGGATCCTCACAACTTCCCTGCGACAGCCGGAGAGAAGATCAAGCTGAGATGATGGAGCCTTTTGCTGCTCCTTTTCTTTTTACTTCCCACCCTGAAGTCGTCTAATGGTGTATGATGCATCGAAGCTTTCCTGTCAGGAAGTTCTCGCTGCTGCAGGCATGCAGGCATCATAATGCGAGCTTGTAGGTGACTAACTATCTGAGTGGTACAATGCCACCGACCATCTATATGGACAAAGTTGTTTAAGTCTACTGCTCCTGCCAACCAGCGATAAATCAGTAGTTCAGCATCCTTTAGAGTCTGGTTAACAAACAGGCGAGATATGTTAGAGCAGGGGTCAGCAACCTTTACTTTCAAAAGAGCCCTTTTTGCCTAAAAACAACAAAGAAAATCTGTCTGGAGCTGCAAAAAATATTTGAGCCTTAAATATAATGCTAATAAATACCAGTGAGCCAGCACCATTGGTGGTGAAAGCAAACAAATCTGTCCACACATTATTTAATTCTCTATTTTCTTCAGAGACGTTTTTCTTTTTTTAAACCATAGCTTGCCTAGTTAGGGAGACTCAAGACTAGTAGCTACGGGGCATCCTGATAACTCACCTGGTAGAGCTGACACCCCATGTACCAAGACTGAGTCCTTGCTGCAGTGCCCACTGGTACGACCCCAACTTGTGACCCTTTGCTGTGAGTCATCCCCTCTCTCTCCCCCCTTTTCTGTCACTCTTCAGCTACCAATATCCATTAAAGGCAATAAATAGAAAAATGTAAAGGTTCAGCAAGTTCCTAAAACACTTAAAGTTTCTTCCCACTGTGGCTCATTGGTGTGTTTAACAGTTTCTGGACTATAATGGAGCACAGTGGCACACAGGAATAAGTTCTAGCAGCCAATAATTGTTAATTAGATCAATTCATTGCTGGTTTCACTGTTGATCATTTTTATATTTATGATTGAATTTCGATCCATTATTTAAATGTTGTTTTTTCTAGCTCTTCAGGGCGGTGTTATAGTTAAGTAATAGAGTAGCCTGGGCTTAATTGACTCTTCTCAGTACAATGAGCAGTAAATTGTACTTGTTTAGTCATCAGACTCGCATTGTGTTTTTCACTATCGCCTAGTGCTTCTTATCTGCTTATCAAATCTATAACCATTTTTCTCAACTGAATCTACAAAATGAACTGTATGAAGATACTGTTTATATTGCTATCATGGTAGAAAATAACTAATACTCTGGTAGAAGACAGATTTTTACCCAGCTCTATTAAGAATGGCCCTGGGAGGGAAAACACTGAATTCGTCCATGATGGCTGACCTGAGGTGCACATTTCCTGTTCTGTTTAGAAATCAGCTGTGTTCTGTTCTCCTGAAGAGATCACTCCTGCGAAGATTAATTTGATTATTATGTAAATTCCCCTCGGAAATATTCTAGTGGGTCGACTCATTACTCTAATTTCCTCTCTGTAGTCCCATAATGGATGTGGCAAATAGTATTCAGACTTCAAAAACTGATAAATTCTGCATGAGCCCGTCTTTTTAAAATCCTTTTTACCTCATGATAGTGAAAACTGGCAACCCTGGCCTTTAAAGATTTCCATCTATTTCCAGTTTACAGTTCATTTTAGGGTTCTCCTTTCAGCTGCCCACTGCCGCGTTATGCATTCTAAATTATTGCCCCCTTTCCCTGCGAGTGGAGAGGCGTTTATGAATTTACCTCCTTGTCCATTTTAATATCCCATGAGAGGCCCGTCTTGGTTCAGTGAGCCCTGCCTGGCCTCTTGACTCTGTTGTCGTGTTTTAAAAAATACCCAAAGTCCCTGAACCATGTGACTCAGAAACCTCCGGCCCATATATCTGCGCTTGTCGCTCTTTTTCGATTTCATCTACTGTGTGTTTGTGTCATTTAGTGCAGTGCATCAGGCGGAATACAAAGCAGCAGAGATGTATTGTGGAGCAAAAGAACCTCAAAGGTTTTGTGGTGGAAGAAGAGGAGGAAGGGAAGGGAAGGGAGGGGTGGCGCTGGAGTTTCCGTTCAGTGCTGAGTTGTTAGAGTCTCCTGCATGTGGGGAAGCAGGGATTGTTCAGTATAGAGAAATAATTGCCACAGTTCTTTAGTCCCAAGAAGTATTTTTTTTTTAAACTTTCTGCTAAACTTTGCATTCTCGTCTGAAGTGAAAATGCCTTTGCAGTCTAACTTTTTTAACCCCCCGTAAAGACTGTAGAGGTGTTTTAAAAAAAAAAAAAAAAAAACAGCCTTTCTTTGTAGAGCTCCGTCGTTCCTGAGAGAATAAAAGCCCTTTTCCTTTGCTGTTTTTGTAATTTTTGAATCATGACTGAGAAGCAACATTGACAGAGTAAATGAACAGCAGTGCATTAAGTAGAGTACACACACACACACACACACACACACACACACTTTGGCAGCCATTATAAATAATCTGGCTACAATAAGTGTGCTCAACAACCTGTCGATCCACAGTAAATATTTCCACTCGCTTCATAATGAGAAAGTGGCCGTCATTTTGTGATGGATGATCTTGTTCTTTACGCAAACCCTGTCTATGTATCTTGAGGTGTGACCCTGGTCTTCTCAGACAAAGACTGCAGCCATAAAGGAGAACTGAGCTGCTTTCATTATAACACTGCATTGACCTCAATTAAGACTGATTAAGGCCATAAGATGCCTGTCGGCCCACGTTCCTGTCTTTGTCTGCAGCACCGATGTGCTGACGGTTGCAGCTATAGTACTAGGCCGTTAATATGATGAACTGTCCTGTGCTCACACTGATGTCCTCTGAATATGATCAAACCGTCACAATGAACCAGTGATCAGTTGAATAGTGGTTTGGGCTGATGTTCAGTTGTTATGGTTCAGTTCAAACTCATTCACTCACTTGAGAATCACTCAACGTCCTCTGTGATCGTCGCTTTCTCCTACCATCTACTATTTTTATAACTTTCATTTGCCAGCGTTGAGTTTTTTCTGCAGGTTTAAACCGTTTAAGACCTTTTAAAGACCTTTAGGAATGCAAGACCTAAAACCTATTTTACATCCATACTGGATGAAAGAGAAATCAGTAGATCAGTCAAATTTCATTCCCCTGTATTTGTTATAGCATGATCAATGAAAACATTTCCCCAAGAAAACATTGGGTGGGTCTGAAAAATGAAACTTCCAAAGCTGTTAATTAATTGTCAAAAGATTGACCTTAAGGTGGTTGCCATGGCAACACCATCAGGACCAACGGGGAGAAAAGTAAGATGGAGGGAAAGGAGCGGCAAAAAAGAGAATGATGAAAATTAGGAATAATGATAATAATAGTTTACCAGCTCCTTGGGCCCAATTGCCTACAAATATCCACCCCCTTCCTCTTCAACTACTTAATTCTCAACCACTTAAATAACTCAACTCACTAATGCAAAGTGCTCCAGCAATCAATATAAAAGCCTAATCATCAAATTAATTAAAACAAGTAAAAACAAGAGGACACAACAGAGGAAAATAATTTATCAAAGGTTTAAAAAAAAGTGTAGGAATATTATTAGAAAGATACTAGTGATTCTTGTTAGTCTAAGC